AACTGCTACCAAAGACAGAATTTTCAATACAAATGTCAACACAGTTCTACTATATAAGGCGGAAACTTGGAGAACTACGAAAGCCATCACCCAGTAGATAAAAGTGTTTATTAACAGTTGTCTACACAAAATACTTCAGATCTGTTAGCCAGACACCGTCAGCAGCAACCCACTAAGGGAGAGAACAAACCAGATCTCAAAGGAGGACGAAATCAGGAAGAAGTGTTGGAAGTGGATAGGACATACATTGAGGAGAACACCCAACTGTGTCACAAAGGAGAAGAGGAAAACCAAATAAGACATTACGCCATGAAATGGAGACAGATATGAGAAGAATGAACAGCAATTATATAGAACTAGAAAGGAAGGCGGAGGACAGAGTGCGTTGTAGGATGTTGGTCGGCGGCTAATGGGGTTAACAGGGATAAGTAAGTAAGTAAGTAAGTAAGTAAGTAAGTAAGTAAGTAAGTAAGTAAGTAAGTAAGTAAGTAAGTAAGTAAGTAAGTAAGTAAGTAAGTAAGTAAGTAAGTAAGTAAGTAAGTAAGTAAGTAAGTAAGTAAGTAAGTAAGTAAGTAAGTAAGTAAGTAAGTAAGTAAGTAAGTAAGTAAGTAAGTAAGTAAGTAAGTAAGTAAGTAAGTAAGTAAGTAAGTAAGTAAGTAAGTAAGTAAGTAAGTAAGTAAGTAAGTAAGTAAGTAAGTAAGTAAGTAAGTAAGTAAGTAAGTAAGTAAGTAAGTAAGTAAGTAAGTAAGTAAGTAAGTAAGTAAGTAAGTAAGTAAGTAAGTAAGTAAGTAAGTAAAAATCAGAGAATCATGTACCTATTTATATTCGATCATTTTATTATTTGATTATATCTGCTTGAAAAAGCTTGAACGAAATTTTTAGGTGAAACGTCAGATTTACTTCAAATACATTTGTTGAGATTTTACAATAAACTCTAACCAGATAACCATATTTCAAGACGATGAATTATTGAGTAAAAAAATATGTAACTACTGTAGACTTTGTAACCATATATTTTTACATATTGAGTGACATTCAAATAACATTTTTTTTAAAATGAAGATAAACATATACGAATATTCATCAAGATTAGAACGAATAATTTTACAGAAATTGAGCGCCGAGTATGGAGAAGTCATTATGTGTGCAAAATTATATTTGAAATAATCTCAGCGTTTGAAATTCATATAATTCCAACGTTTCGTCCAGCTAACTTGTCTGGACTTCTTCAGGGTAGTTTTCACATAGACTATTATTACATTGACAAGAAAGCTGTCCACTGCTCCTTGATTTTCAGTAGTTATTTGCTTAATGATTAACGCGTAATACATAAATAAACGAAAAGTATTCACAAGTGAAGTGGAATGAAAATTTAATCAAACGTATAAAACATGTCAAATGCAGTCAAGAGTGAACTCGTAAATATTTTTATGACCTTTCTATAGAATGATTGTTTTGTAAAAGCTATTAGATAATAGTTATATAGTTTCAATGAGAAAGATTCTTCTTCTTTGAAATCACATTCAATGATCAACAATGAATTGTATTTACATAGGAATTAAACAGTCACTTGTTCGGGTAGTCATAACCATTCTTTTTAAAAAAATCTTATATCATAACAATCATTCTATATCAAAGATTACGTAACTGAGATACTTTGTTTTATAAAGGCTTACAAATGTAAATAATTAATGTACTGTTTCATTATATAGTGTACTAAAGAAGTATTTTTCCGTTGTACAATAATCATAACTAATTGTTTTTTTTCTCAAACTTTGCATTTTAGGCTGAGATGATTGTGGTTAGTAGTGGAATCCAAAACTCTTGTTTTGTCCTATCTGGGAGATGTCAGATGAATGTTTCATTATCTCAGGGTTGATAATCACTCTGGGACTCAAACGCAGAACGACATCATGTTGTTCACTTAACTACTGAGTTCAAACAGCCACCAGTGAACATAAACTCTGGGATACAGGTACATCCAGTTGACGAGTTACAAATAGGACGAAACATACATCCTGGATTTCACTACTAGTCACCATCCATGTTTGCTTATAATACTTGAGACTCAAGGCAATAACGAGGCAATCCCTACAGGATGCACATATTTCAATATGAGTTTGATTAATTGGAGTCTTAAACATCAATGAGAAAACTCAAATAATCAACAGGATAACGGAATAATAATATCTCATTTATTTAGTATCGAAACAACTAAACATTTTAAATAATACAATCTATAGTGCTAAATAATAAAAAAAATGAATATAAGTTCATAATATACTGATGGTTAATCAGTAGTTCGTGTAGTGAACGACAACACAAGTGGAAAAAATTGAATGTATTTGAATACAAAATTACAGAATAACTTAGTAAAATCTAAGAACCATACAGTAAATACTTCATTTGCAAAATGTCAATCAATCACCTCAGACTTGATTGTTGGTATATTTCCACACCAATCATTTTTTGTTCTCGTTCTCTCTCTCTTCTGAACCTTCTTCTTTCAGGTATTTTACTTTTGAATTATGTTACATACTACTTATATCTATCGAAATCAATGGTACACACCACATTCGTTTATAATCACAAACATTAAGTCACACTTCGATTTAAAGAAGAAATAAAACAACATTCATCTTATAGCGGTCTACATAATATGCGGTAATCACAAATATTATAAGTTCTACTTAGAATTCAATAAGCTGTATTTCATCCAGTTTATAAGCTATTTACATTATATTCTATGTTGTCTAATTAGTCAAAGGCACATCATAAAGTGACAAAACTGAACTACAATGAATTACACTATGTAACTTGGACCAAATATCTGCGTAAAACATTTTTTACTTTAAAGGAAGCAAACGTATGTACAATATGGAAACAAATTTTAAGGTAAATATCTGTGGGAAACCAATCGGATGTTTAAGTAATATATCAGTATATAAAATGTATTTTATCAATGAAAACATAATTCAATATAGAGGTGAAAGTTATTTACATTCAAAATGGTAGGAAAAAAGTGTTTAAATTAATAAGAGAAAACGTTTGATGTAGGTCTTAATATTTGTGTTGATTTCTGTCTACCTACAAAATTGATATTTACCTTATGAAATAATTATATAATTCAATTGTCGGTTGATTGTTGCAAATAAATAGATTTCAATTTTGTATTGCATACTTGAATTAATGAGTATGAAATGTATCATGATATTTATACTACTAATATTAATCATAAAATAGATTCTGTTTCAAATTATAAAGTCTGGTTAGAGTCTTTTCTTAGCGAGTTAGTTTTCTATGGGACATAGTTGCTAACCCCATGCCCAACCCTCCTCATTTATCCGGACTTGGGATTGGAAGTAGGCGCAAATAGGCTCCAGGCGGAATCAATGAAATTATTCTTGATGAAGACTTAAATGTAATATGAACTTCTATAACTTTCCTACATGTATGAATTAAATTTTAAAATGAGCTAATCTGAAGAATCTTGTACATAACCAAGTAGAATCAAACTTAATGATTCAACGATAATGTTGTATTTTTGAAATTTAGAGTTAAATCATTCAATCATAAACACTGTCGGAAAGTTTTAATTTAGAAAATTATTTCCGTTTCTTCTTTTCTCTATTTCTCAATAGCCATATATTTTGTGATGAAGTATCATCCAAGTATATATATATATATATATATATATATATATCACAACAGAAAATTTAATAATTGAATTCACGAGTTCATTGAAGCTAGACCACTATGGTAAACCTGGAAGTACTAGACGGTCATTTCGTCCTAGTATGCGACTTCTCAGCAGTGCGCATCCATGGTCCCGATTCATGAATTCAACTATTAAATTACTATAATATCTATGAAAAGAGTACATACACGGCTAAAGAGAGGAGTCAACCAATGACCTTCAGGTTTTAATGCAAGACTTTAGCTTTTAAATCACTTACTTGGGAGGTTATTGTGTACTTGTCTGATATTTGAAAAAATTATAGGCACGCATCGATGGGGAGTTTCATGTGAAGATATAACACTTATTTACTAATCACTATGTAATGTACAATAAATTGAGTATTCAACAGACATAGTATAACTGTTCATTTATGAATTCAAAAAAGTATAAATGTACAATTTAGTCATATTTTACATTACCATAAATAATTTAATTCTTTACGTTTGAGCCTGTATTGCTTAATAATATATTACAAGTCATTTGGATATTTTTTCGGTAAATCGCATCATTCACAAAGTTCACTGGATTCGGCTTAGAGCTTTCGGAAGAGTTTTGTTTAGTTTAATGAAATAGAATTTATTATATATATATATATATATATATATATATATATATATATATAGAATGTATCTAAATGTACTATTTCGTCATGTTCTTTGTACATATATATACATCAATGTTTGAACATCTGGACTACCTGTTCCTTCCATCTACATATTTCAACAAGCTATTTGTTTCCTCGTTTGTTTTAAAACATCAGTATATCAATTAATAGCATAATCTATTCATATACATTTCTGAAAAGTGTACAGTCTTTCGTTACAATAGGCTCTATCAGTGATATTGTGATTACTGACAAGATGCAATGAAAAAAATATACATTATTTAAATGTCGATCGACTAGATTACTCACTTCTAACTTACAATCATTCAATATTTATTGCTAGAATCGACCAAGAAGTAAGAAACGAAAACTTGTTGAAATAGATTATGCTAAGAATTCTACATTGTACTAAAAATATAATATTGAATAAAGCCACTAATAATAATTATATATATACATATATTCATTCACAATACTTCAGTAAACAGATTAAGCTCCGGAGAGTATAATATCTTCAGAGGAATTCCGATATCTTATCTTTGAACATTTATAATTAAACATATCATAAAACAGTTTCATTTCGATTCAAAAGAGACAGTTAAATGAAACTATACAAGGTATCAAACAATACAATAACATCAAAAATGTGAAACTTACTTTTTCGACAAGAATATTGAATGTTAAATATGATGAGTAACCTTTTTAAAACATCACTTCTATTGTTTGAATCACTTAGTACTTCGATCAAATGTACTGTATATTGTATATTGTATTTATATATAGTGAATAAAATAGTTTTTATTATTAATCAAATACAAATTATATTTGGGTTCTTAAATAAAATTTTATTATGAACAATATAACGCCCACAAGTAGTATAAATTAAAATTCTATAAAAATAACGAAATCAACCAATCAGAATTAAGCTATGATATCCAAAAAAAATTATTTTTTTACTTTATTTTATAAACTAATTAGGAATGTTTATTTTTATTATTTTTGAGAAGAGTTTTGAATCTATTTACTGATAAAAGAATAAAGAGAATGTGAGTATGGGGATTCGCGGAGATTGAAGTATTTTAATAGTTAAATTCATAAGTAAATCTAAACTATATTATTATTGAAAGTATGAAAATACTGGTTCTAATATGAGACTCCTTAAAAGTTTACATTCACGATGTCTCACACATAACTGAAACCTAAGATTTTCGGTTACTTGTGTGAATGTTTAACTTTTTAATCACTGAATCAACATTCAACAGTGTGAATATCTTACTTTAAACAATTTTTGGTCTTGTCCAATCTTTTATTTATTGTCTGACGTGGATAACTGTCTAGAATCGAGATGAAATTGGACTCTAGTGTTTCATAGGCTTCGCACTAGAACCTCACGAGTTACATCTTAAAGTGAGCACATGATTGTTAGGTAACAGTGTGAGGATTCCTGGAGATTGCAGTGTGGTGCGTGCTGCCTATATTGATATACGTAGTATATGACGCAAGTTAGGAATGTAATGTCTGACAGCAGAAGATGGGGAAGTTCAAAAAAGGAAGAGCGGGAATTAAAAGGCAATTAGTATAGAAGTGCAAGAACAATGAAGTTCGAGACAATTATTGAATTTTTTTCAAATTTGGTATTATAGTATGTTTTTTCTAGTTTACGAAGCAACTCTGTAATGTTGTGCTAACTATATAATTCGATTGTCTTCATCTGAGTTCTCCTTTACTACTGTAGTATTTTAACAACTGAATTCGGGAGTCACCATTGAAAATCTATAAGCATTAGTGATTACAAGATATCACATTTTTAGTTTTGAAGAAACGCTTCAGTGATAGAAACATTGTTTACCTTTCTGATATTTATAATAATAATAATAGACAACTTTCATAGTTCTATAACTTCAACTGGTCACTTGAAGAACGGTATTTTGATGATCATTCTAGTCAGAATCAGTTCAATCGTTGATAATCAAGTTCAATAAATGAATTCATTTGAGTATAATATTTGGAAATATATGATTTTGAATGAATTTCAAATAACCATAAGACCGTAATATTCAAAGTAATTCTTTCGTAATTTCACAGATCATAAACGATTTAACAGTAATTAAAGTATGATACAGTTCACAGGTCAGTTAATTTTATGATATCCTAACTAGTTTTTATTCACAAATGGTTATTTTGATTGACATATCAAACTTATTTGTTTAACTGTTATATGAAGTAATAAGAATCATACTGAAAAGAAATCAATGAAGCATAAACATTACTGATGTAAAGAGGATTTCATTTGGATTAAACTGCATAAAGACTAAAAGTTATTATTGGTGTATATATTTTTTTAAAGGTGGTTGAAATACGTCGATCACATTGTCATTATGAAAATTAGTTTACAGCTAAAAATATCATTCTATTATTGATATATTTATCATGGAGAATCAGTATAGCTAGTAGAATCTTGAGCCTATATCATGGTATGACCGCTACTTGAGGCCTGGAAACATTAAAAGGCTATTTTGCTTTAATATAGGGCTATTCATCAGTGGCAATACACAATCCTCAGACTCCAGCAAGAATACCTAATATCTAAACCACATAGCTGGTGTCCGATGGTATATCTAGCTTCAACCAACCCACAGTGTTACGCAACGCTCATCTATCGCCTAAGATGAATAAATTCCTCTCACCTGTCACAATTTAGTTCATTATGTCACGGCTTCCTACCAGAACTCTAGCGTTATGTGTTCTACTGATGTCGACGGATATAAGTAGTATGTATCATTAATCGAAACTGAAGGTTAAGAAAACCAAAGAAAGGAGAATAATAACAGAGAATATAAATAAATCATATACTTGTAATAAATTTCACAAGTTGAAATCATGAGTCAGTTGAAGCTAGACCACCATTGAAAACCTGGAAGCACTGGACGGCCGTTTCGTCCTGGTATGGGACTCCTCAGCAGTGCGCATCCACGACCCCGCATCACGCGGGGCTCGAACCCAGGACCTGAGGAGTCCCATACCAGGACGAAACGGCCGTCCAGTGCTTCCAGGTTTTCAATGGTGGTCTAGCTTCAACTGACTCATGATTTCAATCTGTGAAATTTCTAAAATCTCCACAAAACCCATTCTGATAAAATTAATCCAAGTTTAGATAGTACAATGGAACAATAAGAATAATATTTGATCAATCAAAAACAGGTTTGAACAAGTTAATGTCATATCATTTCTGTCAAGGTGATTCAGAAGTGATATGTATGTAAATTTGTGTGTATGTATGTGTGCATTGTTTACGAATGAAAAATTGTGTGACCTTTATGGTGAGAAAGGATAGACTTTAATTTGTAATATGGTATTGTAAATATGGAATTGTAAATACGATCAGACTGAATGGCTAGGATAGATGGTCTAAGTAGGATGTATGATGAGGCCTTCCTTTCTATTGAGAGAAGTAGGATTAAGCATTATACGGAAAGCTTCAGCTACCCACCTTTCTTTGTAGTTGGAAAAGCCTTTTTACAATATTTTGATGTTTTTAAAATCAATTTGGTGGTTGTTGAAAATGGCATGAACTGCTATTGCCGATTTAATTTGAAGTTGATCCAATTCTACAGGATTGTAAGGAGGTTTCTCTGTGTACCTAATATATTCTTTGGATCTAGTCAATATTTTGCGGGATGACATAATCGATACAACCTAATTTGTAGACACAGCTCTGTGTGGACATGAACGGGACTTTTTCTTTTAGACGAACTAAAGTATTTCGTAGTGTGTTCGTTGTTTTGTAATTGTTATAACTGAACGGCAGCAGATTTGAGGGTAGCGAATTATCGATCGGACCAAAGACGCGCAAACACGTAGAACGACCTAGGGTTCTGATTGGCCCCGCTTCCCTGTCTAGCCCAGCAGTCGAGATCAGAACGCAAGTCTCAGCCTCGGATGTATGAATCATTATATTTCAAACATACTTTGTTTATATACCAGTCAAACAAACCACATCATACCATAAAATAGAAAATAACATTGTACAATATTGACCAGTAGGAAAATGACACATGAAATAAGTACTGACCAATAAGTAAATAATACCATCTCCAAGTCCAAGAATAGCATTAAACTTAGTAGAATAATTTCTGGGATATTTTCCTGAATATCCCAACAGTAATATACTTTAATTCTGTTATGTTTTAAGATTCTTTGAAGTTCTTCTGTTGTTCCATGACGGTTTGGTAGAACTGCAGTACCAGAGAATGATTGTTGTGGAAGTGAAGGAACAGTGATATTTTGCAAATGAAGTATTATTTGTATGGTTCACAGATTTTACTTAAATGTTCTGTAATTTTGTGTTAAAATGCATTCAGTTGTCTCCGCTTGTGTTCATGTTGACTATACCAGGAGCTACATTTTGGAGCTAGTGAGCAAATTATTGCTATCAGTCTGAGGATTTGTAGAGATTGTAGAATTTCTAAAGTTTGAACAATAGTATTAATCTTACTGAATAAATATTAGGTAATGAAGTGATATCATCACTAGTAAGGAAGCAACTAATAGATAAAAACTTAGAATAATGCAATGACAAATGGGTAAAGAAATTCTCAACAATAAAAGGGTTGTGTTATACTGTTAATGATATTTAGGATCGGAATAGTCAAATGTCTTCTGCCACTTGTGCATTCTGAATAAATTGCTTCGATATTGTCATTATTTCTCAAATTTTTAATCACCTAATAGTTAGTAATAGATTCCAGAAGTTTCACTGTCAATGTCAACAGTTGGACGTTCACTGTTTATGTATTCGCTTTGTCTTTTCAATTTTACTTGTTCGCAATAAACTACTCACTACTTTTTTGTCATCCATATTTAATAGAGAAATGTTTTCATCAGTTTATTCAATTTGAATTGAGACGTGAAGACGATTGAGTTTATATACATGACATATGAATAAATCTATTAGAATAAGCCTATTCTTTTGTTAAACATAGTATGCAAAATCATACCATAAATCACTTCTTAAAATTGTATGATAACTCTGAACAGCGTTTCACTGAATTTGATCGGTTGATCTCCTAGTTTATGAGCCATAAACATATGGTTATGACTGTTTTTCCTTAAAATTTTATAAGGTTTCTCAACATATGTGTTCTAATTAAATAATGTTGCTTCCATTTAAAATTTGATTCACATACACTCATTGACAGAAGTGTGATAGTGATGTAAGATCTCAGAAAGTTATTAATCTTTCGTCGTCAGTACCAACAGAATAAGAAAACTTGCAGTATTTGGAACTTTTAACAAATATGCATCACTAATCATAATCATAAATTTATGGTAGCATAATACGCTGAAACAAACTGTTGTGTAACATTTTTCTGATGTTGGGATGTTTAATTGCAACATTATTGATTAGATGGTGTGCATGCAAATTTTTCTCCGTTTACTTATTTTAGTAAGTGTACTCGTGTGATTATTCACTATTAACTGTGGATAATTTTTATTTGCATTTGCCTCAGGGGTATCTGTCATCTATACTTTAATTGGTTATTCATAATTTATAATGACTAAGCCTTACATTATTTACTGAGTAGGTTTTTACAACTACTCCTGTTTGAATCCATGCACTTTTTTTCAAGATTATCACTTTAGTCTGACCATATTCTGAAAATAGTTACAGAACTCAACGTCGATCGAGAAAACAATGTTACATGTAAAGCTTAAAAGAACAAGGGTGAATTGTTTGAAATGA